TGGCCCCTGCCCGCCGCCCGGCTCTGCTAGCCGCGTTGGAAGAGCACGGAGAGGCCCGCGCTGCCCGCGGGAGCATGGGCCGCAGCGCTGCCTGCTGCCTCTCTGCTCTCCTCTCCTGCCAGGTGGGCAGAGGAGGGCAAAGCCAAGCAGAAAGCCCCTGCAGGGAAGGAGGCAGAGCAGGAGCCAGCGCTGCTGGCAGCAAAAAGCTTGAAATAAAAGTACAATCGTTTCATCAGGCTAAATTTGGAGTGCGAGTCCCTCCCTCTGCGCTCTGCCAGGGCGAGTCGCGCAGCGCTGGAGCGGCTCCAGGGCCGGCGCTCACGGAGACCTTAGCGAGCTACAAGCTCAGGATCCGGTTCAGCCGCTGGTGGAAGCCCCCTCCCGAACACCGATCCGCAGCCAGCGCTGCCCTCCCAGGTCCCGCACCGGCCTGGCAAGCTGTCCAGGGAGAGAGGGGCAGGGGCGGGACAGGGGCACAGAGCGGCGCCCTGCACGTCCTGCGGAGCAGCCCTAGCTTTGCCTCGTGCCCAGCAGCGTTAGCGGCCCAGCTCTGCACACCAGCTCTGCGCACCCCCCTTCCAGGGAGGGCACATCTGAGCTCCTTGTTGGGGGAGACTGCATGAGCAGCAGGAGCATTTCTGCATCCTTCTGGGACACGTCAACCTTCTGGCTTCCTCAGAGAGCAGCCGTATGCTAATGAGGAGTTCGTCACCCTGCTCCTCACATGTTCACTTTGCACCTGCTCCACTGGAGCACTCCTTCTCCTGGCAAGGGCCATGCTTTATACAGCGTTACAACCTCCTCCAAAGCCCGGGGGCTGGCTGATGGGAGGGGAGCACGGAAACATCACCCGTCTGGGAAGCAGAAATGCTCCAGATTGCTCACTCCTAACGACTGCTCAGCCTGCAACATAAGGGTTGCCAGCGCAGACTTGGTTATCAGAGGATGCTCACCACCTCTGGAAGGCAGGTCCTGGCTCAGGCAGCAGTGGCAAGACCAGGACAAGAGGGGTCTGAGCCCACGCTCCGCTCAGGAGCTGCCGCTCTGTGGGACTAGTGAGAGATCACTCCCCCAGCAAGGAAATGTGGTTATTCAGCCCAAATCAAGAACAAGGGAAAAAAGCAGAGAAAGCAGGAGGGAGCTCACAGAGCCCAGCAGCGCTCGCTCCCTGGGCACTCTGGTTCCCTGGCTCTTGCTGCAGCGCTCACCATGCCACCACTTGTACCCTGGGCCCACATTTACTGGCATTGTCTCTTGAGGTCGCGCAGCATCCAACCACATCACCCTCAGCTGAACGGAGACTTGGGGAAGGAATGGCTCAGCCCCGAGAACCTCCTCGCTCATAACAGGTGAGGCTCCTGCGGTATTCCCCGCACAGGCCCAAGCTCTGACAGCACGCAGCAAGTCCTGCAGGCCTCGCACAGGCTGGCCCCTTCCCTCTCCCCCAGGCCAGGAGCAAGGCCTTAAGAAATGCCAACACACTGGCCGGGACCAGCGTGCCTTGGCTGATGGGAGCCAAGGGAGAAAGCCCGTGCCTAGCCATGCTGGCACTGAAGGGATACATCAGGGACAGGCTGCTGAGGACACCTCCCACCGCATTCCATGGCTGCACAAGCTGTTTTTATAAGAAAGCTATTCCCACAAGGTTCTCCGCACTCAGCAAAGGAACTTCTGGGATCTTTCGTCCGAGCTCACTGTTCGGCTGAGCTCACCGAGCCTTCAGACCTGTCTCTGCACAGGCCAGCTGCAAGTCATGGCCCTGTGCAGGTAGAAGGGGGCTGCTCACAGCCCAGCGAGCACCATCCCCACGCTCCACATCTCCCAGGCTTGCTTGGGTGAGACCCACCAGACGAGGACTACCCGAGCCACCGCGGCCGCTGGCCCTCACCTGGTACAAGAATCTTTGGCTAAACTGCTGCATGGCTCCTTGGAGCTGGTTTCGCTGGGACTGCCATTGCTCATAGTTCCTCACGTACTCGGCTGTAGGGCGCTGCCACGTGGTGGTCCTGGTGTTGTGGTCCACATAGTAATACCTTCCTCGAGGATCCACGCGCTTCTCCCACCTGGAAATATCCCAGGAAGGAGATGTCACCACCTGTTCTCCCTCAGGAAAGGGGCTCTTCCTGAGGCCCCTTCCAGCCCTTGTTTCAGCGTGTCAGGGCTTGATCATCTTCCACTCCAGGGGAGGTGGCACCAGACTCACACGCACACCACCACCCTGCTTCCTCCAATATCTCTTCTACTGCATGGAGCCTGAGCACATGACACAGGACTGCTGAGCCAACATCCCTCAATCAACCTTCAGGAGATCAGCTGTAGCCCCAGAGCTGAGCCCCTGGGACACGTCCCAGCAGAGAATCCCTCCTCAAGCACCACAGCAATCACTACACAGGAAAGGCATGACAACTGATGCTCCCTCTTGTGACAACCTGCCCAAATACAAGTCCTCCCCAAGACCAGCACACGCATCAGTGCTGCTGGAAGGACAGGATTGGGCTAGGCACCTATAGGTAAACCCACCTCCCAAGAAGAGAATCACTTCAGATCTCCTCCCTACAGCCAGCAGCCCAGGAAGACGACAACATGCAGCATGGGAACAAGGAGGCCTGGAGCTGCCCTGGAACAAACCCCCTCCAGCTAATGAAAGGAGCAGCACAGACAGATCTGGTGGCAGGTGTCTCCAGCCGTTACGTGGCAACTCTTAATACTAACGCTAGTGTGAAAGTATGGGGGCCAGAAGAAAGAAACCTTGGAGAGCTAAAGAGGCATGGCAGAAGGCACAGAACATGGTCTAACATGGAGGAAACTCCAATTTCCCTTGCTGAGAGTTGGCTCCGGGGGCCCTGGACAAGAAGCAGCAGCTTGAGAATATTCAGCTGCTGCCCAAGAACGTGTTGAAAACGCAATTTAGAGGAGCACTGCACTGTGAATTTAACCAGCTGCCAAGCTCCAGTCGTGTTCTCCATGCAGTGGCTCAGCAGAGAATTCACAATAGATTGAGTTCTGGCTCCCAGAAACACTTCACGGGCTCATCAGCCTCCAGAAACACAGGTAAGGAAAACAGCTCATCGTCCTTCAAGGGAGGAAGACAGCAAGAGCTGGTGGGCCTATGAGTTTAGCCAGACTTTTCATTTCACTCTGACACTACAGGTTGATTTCAGATACTTAGATGTGGCTCCTGTCCCAAGATTGGGCACTACCCTTTAACATGAGGTCTCCATTCCTAGTTACAGTATAACCGTCAATTTTATAGTTGAAGAAGTTTCTTGGGATAAAATGAGATCTACCACTAGGAAACACAAGAGACTAATAAGACTTGAAGCATCTTCCTGCAACATCACACGAAGCAGTGTTGCTGAGCTCCGAGACAGGAGATGCCTTGGCGCTAACAGTTAATGATTTAATGAGTTAATGCCATGATTTAATAAGCATTCCTCCAAGAGACCTGACCTCCAACAGAGCCAAGGCACTGGAATAGAGGCCTGCTTTGGAGAGGAAGAACACACTTCAGGTATTCCCAAACCTAACTTTCAGGAAACAGCCTCCCTCTTTTAATACTAGATAGATTTTAAGCTGTTAGAGGATCAGAAGGTGGCAGGGAGGGCTGCAGAGGTCACAGTTTAATGGAAGGTAATGTGTGACCAGAGGCTTTCATTTCACATTCACCCAGAACACTGGCTTTTAAAGCTCAAGCCAGTCATTCCAACTTCAGATAAATGCCATCTAGAGAACAATATTGGTTTGGCTTCACCGACTTTTCTGCTTTTAGGAGCACAAAGAAAAGGTGAGAATTCAACAAGCCTCTGGAAAACACAGGGGCCCAGAGAGCTACATACCGTCTTCATGACCTAAAGACTGTTTACTGCTGCAAATGAAAGCATGACCCTCCTGGACACAAGTTTTCAGAGTTCTAGCATGTCTCATGGAGCTCAGCAGCGTTGTCTTCCCGAGAGCAGGCAGCCACCCAGCATGCTAAGAACTTAAGAGGCCTCTCTGAGGGAGGACAAGGTCTAACTTCTCTATGCCTCTACACGCTCCCTAGGAACTCAGTCCTCCCAAGTCATCCCTCATCTAAAGTGTCTGTTTTTCTAGGCAACATGGGCTCTATCCCCTCCTCCTGTTCCTCAGGAAGACTTTGCAGGCTCCTGTCCCAAAAAATCACCCCACTCTGTTCTGCCCACAAGCAATTACTGTTGCTCAAGTTGCCAGTGATTTCTACCGACTGTTTAAACAAATAATAATCTTTTAATAAAGGCCAAAGTACAACAGATAGAAAGGTCTTTTCATCATTTCTATTAAAAAAAAAAAAAGGCCTTCTAGAGGACGTAAAAAGTGTCTTTTCAAGCCAGTAAACAACTTGGTCATCTCACCTCATTTCTTTTTAGGAATGAAAAGACCTTCCTCCACCCCTTCCCACCACCGACTTCCCCCCTTCTCTGTAGACTCCTGTGTGGCCACTACAACAAGTTAGCTCAGTATTCGAGACACCACCTGCAGAGAATTCACAATAGATTGAGTAAGGGAGCACCTTACCCTGGAGGAAGAGGTCTCTCCCAGGTGGTAGTCTTGTTGTTATGGTCTACATAGTAGACTCTACCGTTAGGCAGCTCTCGCTGTTCCCACCTGAAAGAAAAAAATCATGAGACAGCTGATACTTGCTGAGACAGAGATCAAGCCCTGGCAGAGGAGGAGGGGAGTCAACCACATCATCATCACAGGAGCTTAGAAGTGAAAGTCATAGAGAAACAAGATTTGCAGCCCTGCAGTGAAAGCCCTCTTTACGCGCAGCAGATGGGGATGCCCGCTCTGCACCCCCCAGCACTCCCAGCCTCGCTCTAGGATGGGGAAGCTCAGGACCCAGGGCAGGCTGAAATGCCCTGTACTGAGACCACTTCCTGATACTAACCACCACTAGCAGAGCAAGGGAAGTAGTAGATGAACAGAGGAAACTGGAGCGAGACGCAGGCACTCTGATCAAACGGATCAGCTGGGTAACACAGGCCAGGCAGCCGTGGGACAGTCCTTGCTCACCGACAGCGACGTGGGCAGAGGCAGGCCCGCAAGCCCTGCAGAGCCCCAGCCAGCCGGACGCTTCCCATCCAGCCTCTCTGCTAACTCGCTCTTCAAGGTACTCACCAGGCATGACACAAGCATCAGCAGAGCAAGAGAGAGCAAAGTGCTTCTCAGGGGCACTGGTGGTGCAGAGCTCCTACTAAGGACACCTTACACGTGACAGAAAACACGAATCTCCTCAGATCCCTTCCCCAGCTCTGGCGCGTCCTGATGTGAAGCAACAGTAGGCAGCCTGCACACTACATAACCCAGCAGAAATCGATAGAAACTTCACATCTGCTTTTTGGTGATGTCCAGGCACAGCTAACAAAGCAAAACTGCCCTCTGCGATGCCAGCCAGAGTGGCCCGCTTACCACTGCAGGATCTCGCAGGTGTCTCTCCACCAAAGCGCATTGCTCTGACACCTGCAGTTGGGGATGCCACCAAAACCCGTGTGCATTCAGAGCAGCACCCTTTAGGAGAGAGCACGGGGAAAACCAAGGCAGACGAGACAGCTCCTGTACTCTACTGAAACACAGAGTTGAAGCAAAGTGGCTCAGCTGGAATGAGCAATGTGGATCCAGCAATACCCAGACGATGTCCGCAGCCTCAGCCCACGTTTCAGGGGCAGTGAGAGCAGCCACGGCCCTGTTCCCGCGCACTCAGCCTCGCACAGAAGAGGCCAGCGCTTTTAGAAACAAGCACACACCACCTTCACCTCCGCCATGGACTCTCAAACTGCGACTACACGCAGCGAGAAAGGGATTTCTGATCCTCTCCTTGTTTCTTAGCTGGCAATGCTGATGCAGAAAAAGGAGAGATGCAACCAATGCTGCAGCGGCAGCTGGCACGTCGGTGGCACCCTGCGTGGCTCCCGCTCACAGGACAGGCCTCTGCCTTTTAGGGTTCCCTCATCCCTGGGAGGCCCCGCAAGCTTGGGGGCCTCACCCTTCCCATAAGGATGGCTGCAGCGCAGGGGACCCCGTTTCCTGGACAGGAGGCTTGCTCCAAGTAGGACCAAGAGACTTCACAGGCACTTCCATCTACTTTAAATCACGTCCAAACAGCTTTCTAATGAAAACTCTGTTTGTTTGCATGTGTTCCCATACGCTCGGACTGCAGCTGTGCAGTCAAGCCTCCCCCATGGATCAGCGAGCTGTGAATAATTAATGATCACCTTATTACTAAGAACGACCAGAGGGCTGCATCTAGTGGATTAGTAAACCTACCTCTTAGCATTGCTTAGCTGCAGCATTTTAACCTTCATTTAAAATAAAGAATGATAGCAGGTCTGCACAGCATTTATCTAGCTTGCTAAATAAAGACTATTACAGAGGTGCTGCAGCAGTTTGCATTCTGAAAACAGGCAAAATTTAGAGCATAAATTCCTAATTTCCTCCAGAAAGTAGGAGGGTCGGTGTAAGATTTCACACAGGGTCAGTTTTATGCCCTGTGAGTTTTTGATGTAGTTTTTGTTTGGTTTCTCTTAATACATCTTTAAAGGGGAGCCTTTGAATTTGGGCTTGGGCTGAAATTTTTCTTGGCAGCCCTCCTGATCATTGCTGACAGATACCTCTTAAAAACATTGTGCGTCCACAAGGCACTCAGTTTGGAGGTGGCCCCTAAGGGGAGCTGGTGCGATAGGGAGGGCTGGTTTTACACAGCTACACTGAAAACCATTCTTTGCCTTAATTCATTCATGAAAGTTTATGCCCTGGCAAACATAAAACCTCCATGAAGTACCATGCTTTCTGTCAGCTTTTATTCTACAACAGAGAAAGGCTAGCATAAGCTGCTGACAGATACAATGTTCTCCTGCCACGCTTCTACTCCCACAGGTCTCCCTTCCAATTCAATGTTCAACCTCAATTAATCATCAAAAAAACACCCTAGGAAATTAATATACTAGCCTCTGTTGTGACACTGTGATGGCAACTGAACAAATCCAGGCTTGCAGAAAGCAAGTAGTGCTTCGTGAAGGAGATGGTCTAAGTGCCAATTCCCCATTGTCTGGTTTGCACAATTCCTTCTTACCCTCAAACCTCTACAGCATAAGATTTAAGCTTACCAAACTGTGGCCTCTGCCCCAAGAGCGGCCACAACCGCACACCAACTGCGACCACAGGTCCACAGACTATGCCTCAGCCCCAACACTGTTTTCTACAGAGGTGGGAAAATAGAACACGGGGACAGGTTCAACGGGACTTTCCAACCCTCAACAGCATGCCTTCAGCTGAAGACCTGAACTGTCCAGAAGTCAAGCTGGCAGCCTGAAAAATTTCTGACCTAGACAGAAGGCAATCTTACACTCTGAGACAAGAGATTCAGTCCCCCGAAACAGGATGTGTTGAACACCAGACTCAAGATAATGTCAAGAAATTTGCCTAACTCTAATCAGAGCTGTTAGCTTTGCTCCTGTGGCATGCGAAAAGCTCTCTCAACTTAATGCATTTGCAGCAAACAGGTAAAATTTGCACGTAAAATTGCATTCAGCAATACTGGATCTTCCTCATCCAAAGGACCAACCAGTGGTTGTCTTGGACGGAAACAGTCCAAGACAGGACCTACCACTTTCATACAGCATTGACAGCGATGGGCTGCTAAGCAGAGAACTGACCAAGTCTCTGTCAAGGGAGACCTGGCACTATCCAGTGCTGCTCTCAGATCAGAAAGTTGCCGTCTCTAAAGTCAGTGGTCAGTCCTTTCCCTGAGTTATCCTTGGACAGCATTGGGTATTGTCAGAGGAAGAAAGCCTGTTCCCTATTCACTAGTGATGAACTCATGTTCCATGAACATAAAAATATCAGGAAAGCTAAAATAGATTGACACTTATAAAAAGAAAATCAGAGCTGGCTTGACTGAGATTTCTTGAAAACACAAAGCACACCTACCCCACAAGATGGATGGAAAAGGAGCAGTATTTCTGGGTATCTCTAGGAAGACGACGGGCCTTTGGAAGTGCTACTGGCTGGAGAGCGCCTCACTTCAAGCACAGCTTTTGAGCCACTGGAGCTTTGGAAAGCCCCCTTTCTAGATTCACAAGGCAGGCAATTCCAATCCTCACCAGGAATCGGATACACATCCAGAATAAGGCTCTGGTAGACTAATATAATTTGCAAATAAAATTCCAAGGTACAATTCCACTCATAAGACTTTGAATGAGTCAGAGTCTGGAGAAATGCCAGGGTAGATCTCCATGATCATCCTAACAGGAAATCCCCTTAAGGATCATCTTTGTGAGGAGGCTATAATTGACTCTTTTGGATGGATCTAGAGACTGCAGTACAGTTCATTTACAGAGCACAAGGCAACCACAGCCAGATGTCCTATCCATTTTGTCCACACGGACAAGCAGTGCTTCAGAGATGAACACAACTTCAGTCTCGCTCACACAGAATCAATGGTGCCAATGTCCATGACTGGAAGGGAGAGCTCTTCCAAACTCACTGACAATCTGTTCACAGTTTGATTCTTCTGATCGATAGGGCTTTGAGGACTTGGAATTCCCTTATGACAAGAGGCTCTCAAGTCCTCAAGTACTAATTCTGTGGCTGCAGAGACCAGAAACACTATGGGAAAGACTCCTCTAGAGCAAAGAGTTTCTGGATCCCCGGTAGGATATTCATTTGGGTGCCCCTATGACTGCAAAGAACCACAGAGGACTGAGGAGAGCTGCTGGCGGTGCTGCAAAGCAGTGGCTGTTACTGACGTCCACTGCAGAGCGTCCCTGTCTCACGGGCTCCCTAGAAACAGGTGCCAAGCTCGCATGCTCCTCAGTTCAGCAGCTCCTTGGTGATCTGAAAAGTAAATTTGCTGAGGGCTGCTTCACCCACGATCTGATGTTTTGTTGCTACGAACAGTGAATCATGCTGTTAAACAGCAAGCAGCTATGTCATCCTGCAACTCTGAGAGACAGGGGCACTTGGAGCTGATAAAATCCAACATTGCTTAGACTACCTTGCCCAGTTCTTCCCTGCACATCGTTTGCCATCGCTCAAGGGATAGGTCAGGGAACGCACAAGACAACAAGCTCTTCCTCTTGGGAACCTATTTCCAGTCAATGTTCCTCCCAGATGAGCGCTGCCACACCACCACTGGCAAGACAGATCAGCAGTTTAACAAACAATAGACAGCGGGAACAGTGATATCCAGTCCATATGAGGGAAGAACTGAGACACCACTAAAGAGAAAACAGCTTGTTCGAAATCTTTTAAGATGCACTTGATTTTTAAAACACGAACATTTTGTTTAAAGGCACTAAGAACATAGGTTGGAACCTGATTTCTGGACAAGTCAGAAGACAGTCCTTCAAAAGCTGTCTAGAATATGCTGTTGCTTTATTATCCCATAAGAGAGGAGGACAGAGTCAATCACCCACGGTATTCAACAGGAACCGTGATTAAGAACTTTGTAGAAGAAGGTGCAAAGTCGCAATCACTGAACGCAGTGGCAGGATTATGGTCTCAACTGTAAAAACACAAATGGTTGAGTTTGGTTTAGATATCATCTTGTCTCATGCCCGTTGCCAAGGCCAGGGATTCTGCTTTCAGGCAAATTCAGGCCATAAGCACAATCTATCAGCAAAGCGCCTCCCCTCTCTGTCAATGCTTCAACGTGCGTCTCGTCTGCAGTCACAACGTCTTAGCAACAGTTATCCCCAGGTCTCTGCACGCTGGTATGCAAGTCCAGGATGGTACTCACAGAGACGCTACAGCTCTCATCCATGTGCAGCACTGGTGCAAGCCTGAAACACGCGACGCGTTGGACCTGCGGCGCACCTACGTAACTCCCATCTGACTGCAGGAAACGGCTGCAACGGGCAGTGGATACAGGGAGCACTGGATGGTGCAAAGTGGCAGTGCTGAGGTAACCCTGCAGGCCAAGCAAAACGCCCTCCTTATGTAAGAAACCACAGCACCATGCCTTCTGCCAGGCAGTATAATGTACCTCTTTGTACGCGCGAGACAGAGCTGTGTACACACACCGCATTAATGACCGTCTGTCCCCAGCACAGGACCATCACTGATAGGAACCAGATGCAAGAGCCAGCGGCTCTGGCTGCCCTCCCCCGCTTTCACTATCAGTCCACTTGGAAACCCACAGGTGAGGATCAGGACCCCACGTCAAAGGCTTTGAGTGCTGCAACCAGTTGCTCTTGTCCCACACACATTCCCTGGCTTCACAAGAAAACAAGCTCTGCATAAGCCAGGAGGACATAAGAGGAGGGTTCTGGGCACTGTTGGGTCTGGAATGATTCAGATCACCTTCCAGTATCCTCCAACCCCTAAAACAGACTCCCAGTTGTATGTGAGATGCCTTTGTGCCTGCCACATCTGGTGCAGCTGTTGAGACAGCTATCCGAGCAGAATAAATAGCCTGGCATCCTCACATGAACCCTCTGCAGGCCCCATCCGCACGCGGCCCGGCAGCGAGCACGGGACCAACAGCCTCAGAGCATCCACCAGCAGAAAGAGCTGCAAGAAGTTAAGACTCCTCCAACTGCTGAAGGGAACGAAAGCCTGAATGCTGTCAATGCTCCCACAGATCAAAGGAGACACTTAGAAAATGAGCCAGGGTTCCCACAGAAAAGGCAAGTTCTGGAGGTTTCTAAGACAGGACAGGGACGCTGCAGCTTTCAGGCTCTTCAGCAACAGAGTGACGGCACTGCAGGGGGGCTCAGCTTCTGCAAGCAGCAAAGCAAGAACTATTACTCATGCACTCTGCGACACTCCCTACACAGTCATCACAGCAGGAGCCAGGCCAGCAAGGGGCTATCCTGCATGACGCTCTGGAGAGCATTTTGCTGCCAAATCTGCAGTGGCTTGGTTTTGCTCGCATCCCTTCTGCCTGAGACACGACTGCCTCCACTCACCCAACCAGCTGCATCCCCATCTCCCAAGCTGGGCCTCAAACCGCTAGCCGAAGCAATACCCTGGTGTGGTAAGCCAGCCAAAAATGAGCTTCCCCAGATGAAGTCTCAAGGGATCCCCAGCAGCTCATTTATACCATCTTAGTGCCACAGCCTTTTGTGCAATCCCTATTTACCAAAGGCAATGCAGACTCTTGCAGCAGCCCGTGCAGAAGCTAGTCCGGCCTCTTCCAGGGCAGGGCTCGTGCTGTGGAAACCTGGCTCCTGACAGCTCACGTGGACCTGGATGAACTCAATTCTCTGCTGTCCCCCACCTGGAAAGAACTTGATACTTGGACTGCACCTGACTGAGCAGATTAAGGGCTATCCAGGCCAACCCAGCATAAGCATATAATTCAGATAACACATGCAAGAGGGTTGCTGCTCTATTTCACCCCGTACAGAGCCTATGGTCAGGGCGGGGATGAAAAAAGATCCAAGGTGAAAATCAAAGGCGTCTCCACAGTCCCCAGATACTGCAAGCTCAGCCTGGAGGAGAGTTTGCTCCCCCTTCCACTGCTCTTCTCCGCCATCTCCCAAAGAGCAAAGCTCAACAGTTTCATCCTCCTCCCCTTCTGACATGCAAGATTTTCTGGTTTGTGAACACAGCAAGGGCTACGGGCACAGAGAGGTAACAGGCCACCCTTCCACTTGGCTCTACAGTGCCTCCGACCAGGTAAACGGAAGACTTACGTGTCTTAGAAAGCAGCGCTTGCAGCATCCCAGCGCCTCCTGCAGCCTCCGTAAACTCTGTTCACGAGGTACCTGCAGGCTCCTCACCGCCCCCACACCCCGGGAAAGAAACAACACCGTGTTTCACCCTGGGCAATGCAGAGGTAGGGAAAAGGAGACCTTCAGTCTATCTAGCAGGAGCAGCAACCGGCATAAGCTCTGGCTGGAATAAAGACCTTTTTCAGAGCACTGGACTTTTCCAGCTGCCTGGAAACAGGAAGCGCCCAGGCCTGAGAACAGTAACCCTCACACACCCCACATAAAGGCACACTGAGCTGTTAACCCTAATTACCTGTGACTGACACACGAGTGAGGCCCTGACCTTCCAGGCATTGGCTTAGCCAAAGGAAAATAAACAGCTCCCTTCATAGGAAACACAAGCCATTTTCAACCCCCCTCTTGCTACTTTGCACTTTCAGTCCAAAATTAAAGGTGTCTGAACGAAGGGGCGAACAACTCAGCCTAGCCTTCCTGCAGAAAGTAACAGGGCAGCAGGCGGGAGCTTGGCTGAGCTCGGAGACTGTCTTACAGCTTTCAGCAAGGATCAGTACGCTCACCGGCATTGCTCTGCTCAGTCCCCAGCTCTCCTCCCAGCTCCTCCTGCCACGTGCTGCTGGTGAAGGAGGGCGCAGAGCAACTGCACGAGGGAAACTAACTGGCCCAGAACAGCATCCTCTTCCCTGGGGCCTCCTCTGCTGCCACCTTCAACACACAGTGCCACACCGTAAGCACAGTACAATGCTTGATGTTACCTTCCTCCACGCAGAGGACTACAAGGTCTCCATATTTCTCACAAACGTTGTCCAAGACCAACTCAGTGCCACTGCTAACAAAGATCTTCTTTCCCTCTTCTTTACTGGTAACTCCAGAGAGGCCCAGGACCCAGAAGACGTCCTACCTGTCCCCCACCTGCTGATGCATTTGATTACTGCTTGCTGTTATTTGTTCATGGTTTCAAGGTGGCACATGAGAAATGAGCTATGTAAGGATCCTGTCCACCTCCCCCAACAGCAGTGAACGCCTTTATGGTGTTTCTGCAGGTTTCTTTTTTAATGATCACGCCCTCCTGTTCAAAGAGAGCTCCCTGGAAATTCATATTCATTCTCTCATATATTTTCTTCTCACTGACTGAACCCTTTAACAGCTTCTACTGTGCTTCAGAAGAGTAGAGGACTTCACTGCTCCCCTTCTGGGCACTGACACTGAGAAACTGGTCTTTACAGAGATGCTATTCACTCTTTACTATCCCAGAGAACTGTAACGGGTACAGATAAGAATCCTGACCTAAAGGAGGAGAGAGGAGTCCTGCAGCACAGTCAAACCCCAGCCATCTGGTTCAGACTAAAAAGGACAGCTTGTCTCCATGGAGTGGGCACACGATCTGGACTAAGACAGTAGGTCTTTCTGTACAAGCAATCCGGATGCTACAGCCACCCCTACCAGTACCTACTGCTTCCACCCAGCCTGGACCCTCATATCCCCTTGCTGTTCTCACGGTCCAGCACTGTCCTTGGAACGGCACGCACGGCAGAGCAGGACCGCCTGGGCTGCTCCAAGCTGCCGAGGTAGAGCAGTGCCCCGATCTGCTCACATCTTCCCAGCCAGCTTGCACACGTTCAGCCATGCTGGCTCTGTTGGGGCAATGAGAGAGTCTACAGCAGAAGGCAGAGCTGCTTACCCAGGGGGCAGAGCGTCCAGGGCTAGCACCGCGGCTCGGGACTGGGGGGCGCCTGAGCCAGAAGCTGTCTCCTCTGCCTCTCCGGAGGCCGACGAGGCAGGAAGGGCAGGAGTGACGGAGCCATCAGCCACACTTGCTGCTATCGTCAGGGAGCTCACTCCTGCTGCCAGTCTTTCCTCTTCAACGTCTGCAGCACCCGCTGAGTCTCCGTTCACTGGAAAGGCAGAGCCGTTAGTGCTAAGGAAGGATAGCAGGGGAGCCTGGTGATCTACCACCGCTCCCAGCCCTAGTACCAGAGCAAACGGTGGGTGGCAGCAGTTACCACCCAGGCATGGGACCCACAGGGTGCCCTTCGCTGCAGCAAAGGCAGCGTCTCTGTTCACCCAGGAGTAGGTGTCAGATCCTCTGTGAACTGCCACCACTGCCTGCACCTTTTCTGTCTCCAGACAAAAGCAGAGGCACTTTTGCATTCATGCTCGGTATCTCTTGTGCTGCTCACAAATGTGCTGCAGGCCTGAAGTTAATTCAGGTAACAAGCACAAGCTCAGAAAACTGCTGGCACGAGGTCCCCTCCAGGCTAAGGGAAGCACAGATTGGATAAGTCAGTTGCACTGGTAAGAGCTAATTTTTGCTGGATTCCACTGCACTTTTGGAAAAGGGAAGGAAGGGGAAGACACAGAGCAAAGGAAAATTATGATGAAAACTGATCAGGAGGAAAATGCAGACCAAAAAACAGAAGGAAACTTGTTTGGGAATACTTATTAGATAGCCAAAAACCATGACTTGACAGTCAAGCACAGGATAACTTCAGCTAGAAGGCATCCTGGTTTCAGTGGCAAAACAAAAGCATTAAAAGCATTAAAAGCAAAACATAGCATAAAAAGGGAAGCAGGTAGAGCACCATGAGTTAGAGTTAAGAAATGTAGAAAACTCTAAGGGAAGGTAAAGACATAGGGGAAATAGCTGCACCTAAAAGCCAAAGTATCTAGAAGCAGTCTAGGAAAAAAATCTCATAATAGTATAATCACTCACAGACAGAGACTGAAGAACTACAGACACTTTTCTAGAAGAGGCAAACTGCTGTAGAGTACACTTTTGCTTTGCAGCTGGAGGGAAGCAGGACAATACCCTCCATCACTGGAGGGAATCTGGTACACAGATTAAAGGCCTCTTAGGCAGCATCTAACAGGGATGCAGATTCCTGAGTCAGGAGGCTCACAGTAACTTCCATCAGGAGTCCTGCAACACTTGGCTGAGGAGATCTCTGGCTGGTGTTCCTTTTTAGCTAGCCTTGGAAAGGGAAGCTTTAGAAGCTTCAGGTATATTGTGTCAATCTTCAAAGGAAACCTGCAGAATGACCCAGGTAACTGCAGTGTAATTAGCTTATTCTCAGTCCCGCGCAAAACAGTGGAAAAGCTGATCCAAAGTTCAATTGATAAGGAAAGAATTCAGCGGGAATAGTCAGTGCTAAGCAACATGGCTTTGCAGGAAACATGCCATGAAATAACCTCCTTTTATTCTCAGATGAAATTACAGCTTTAAGTGACAAAGGTAACTGGGAAGTCCTTGACCTCAGTCTTGCAACAGTCTGTTCAAAAACTGAATGTAATAATGTCAACAAAACATATTAAAATGGAAGAAGAGAAAGGTTTCTAGAGGCATTCTAGAGAGCGTAACACAAAGTACCAGTACTAACCCCAACCACTCAACACACATCTCCCCATCCTGGAATATAAAATCATTGCTGACAGGACTTTTGGAAGACACAGGGGCTGGTGAGCAGTAAACAGCAATGAGGACAGCACAGTCATAAACCCACTGGGAAAGCTGGGGCTCGTCCAATAAAATGTGTTTCAACAAACCAAAGCCAAAACGCCAAGTTATACTTGCAGGAACAAAAACTCTGTCCACAGCCTGAGGGACTGTCCTCTGCACAGCAAGGACATTGAGAAGCGCTGGGTGGTGAGAGCGGACAAAATTCAGCATTCCCCCCAAATACAGCACTGTACTGACCAAGGCAGACACGAGCCTCAGCTCCAGGGAGGGGAGCAGAGACCAGGAGCGAGCAAGACAACACTTGACAGCTGAACAGTAACATTTCACTTCACCCTCCCACTCCCCCATCTCCCTCCCAAAATGAATTCTGGCAAAATTGAAATTACGTTGCTCCAGGTTTTTCCAGTGAAACGGAACAAAAAAGAAAAAAAAAAAAAGAAAAAAAGTCTTCATTTTGGGTTGAATAAAACATTTCCTTCTACCCGAAACAAAGTACTTGGCTTTTTCCTTCCAGGTCTCTGACAAAAGCAAAAGAAAGGACGGTGCTGTTTGCAAATCCAGTGCAGAGGAGTAGGAAATGCCTGTGGTAGTGGTGTCACTTTGCTGCCTACCTCTTACCCAATAACACAGTGACTGAAGGACTCACCCAGGATGTGGGATACCTGGACCTCCTCTGAACCCACATCAACTACATGCCAGGACACTGTCTCAACCATCACGTCTCACAGCTTCTAGAGGGGCTTCCCTCGATCTCTAGCTGGAACTCCATGTTCCAGCTTACCAGTTCCACGTGAGAGCCAGGTAAGCAAGAGACAGATAGATTGCTCATGGCTTTATAGTTAGGCGCTTGCCAGATCCCAGTCCCTTCTCCATAAAGTATTTATGGCTTTGTGGGCAAATCCAAGAAAAAACAAGAGAAACCCTTCCAGAAATACCTTCTGGCATAAAAATCATCATCCTTTTTAGAGGTGGGTTTGTATCTTCTCTGGTACTGGATACAGACAGCGGCTCCTCCCCATTTTGGTGGGTAAAGACCTCAAAAACATTTTCACTGAAACTGATGGGCAAATTCAGCTGAATGATCACAACTCTGAAAAAAGTCCATTCAGCTGTGATGACTGTTCTCCTCTCTGTGGCATCAGTGACACTGCTTTTCCAGTCTCCCTTTTAAAAACCTGGAACCAGATGCAGCACTTATGTCATGGAGACTCCAGAGAGGAGCCAAAGAAATTGTTCAAGAAATGGAGAACAGGTCCTACTGGTGAGGTCTATGGAGCTCAGGCTGCCCAGCTTATCAAAAGTAATATCAATAGCTTCTTCACAGGAAGGAAATTCCTGCATACTAAAAGATTCTTTATTTCAGCAGAAATTCATTTTCTCCCACTAAATGCAGCCCCATGCTCTGTCCACCACACAACTCTAACCGAAAGGCCAGAACACAGCTCCCACTAGTACCATGTTTCACCTGTGCCATTCGCTGTGCCGTTTGTCATGCCAGCGTGGTTCTGACTCTTGGCCTGCAGCCGGTGCCGGTTCCTGGCACTAGGACTTTGCTCTCCGCTCCCCGTGTTTTGTCTGGCTGCTCCAGCTGAATGCCGGTGTGTCCTGTGAGGGAAAGAAACACAAGAGGTGAGACAGGCAACTGGCCTCACAGAGGAAACCTGCTCCTGTCTTTTTTTGTCTCAGTACTTGTCGTCTCCGAGCACAGTTGTCAGTGATCCCCAAGAACTGCCGGGACGCTGGTCCTGCTCCTTAGCCGATGCCCTGAACTCCCAACGCTTCTTCTTCCGCTCTCCCAGCCCATGCGTGGGTGTCAGCATCCCACCTATGGCATCAGAGTCCTACGGAGGAGAAACCGTGGTGCAGAAGGTCTCGCTTCTGTTTGCTGCTGCTCCCCTTAGCGGCCCCGTGTGCTAAGGAACAGCCCTGGGCACTGACAGATGAAAACCTGCTTGTTGTGGCCCCCCGCCGTTTGCTCCCTCCACTCCTGCAAGAAAGCTCCCAGAAGAGATGGTGTGCAAACGCTTTCTGCGCTTTGGTGCCACATCGCATACCTAGGGAAACCCACTTCAGCAGCTTGAGTTCAGCTGCAAGCCTAGCACAGGGGCAGGTGAGAAAGGTGCAACTATTCTCTGCTGCTGATCCCGCTGGGACAGCCTTGGTCTCTGGCCAAGGGTGGGACAAACAGCCGGAACGGACGGCAACTGAAATCATCACAGCACGAGCCTGGATCTCACCCACAAGAGCCCCAGCTCTCCGCACAGGGATACTCGGCTCTCTCCAGGGATAAGAGAGGAAAGGGAACTCACCACATCTAGCCCAGACAGAGCCTCCCTGCCACCATGTCCCCGTCACTGTGCGATGACACTAATCACGCAGGCGGCTGTGGCCAGGACAGCCCGACTTCCACAGGCAAAACGCCTGCAGCACACAACCCCAGCACAGCACGAACCACCCTGGTCAAACACAGCTAAGCCTCCACATCCCCGGGCCCCTGCAAAGGCCAGAAGACATTCCAGGAAAGGCTTGGTTTTCATGCTTATTAAGAAACCTGGTAATTACTGTAAGTGGGGCAGGGCAATGTGCACAGGGCCGGAGGGAGGGAGCAGAGCGCTGCCCGCACAGCAAAGCGCTCGCTCCCCGAGGCAGGGAACGGAGAGGTGCTACTCCGAAGTGGAAAGGGCACGTTCAGCAGTGGGGCATCATGTCACACATCAGGGCAGGAACACAACTGATTGCGGGTAATCTTCTAGTTGGATTTGCTATGGGAATCTATTGACACTTGCTCCATAATTTGGGGCAGTGAGAGTCTCACGCCACCAGTGGCAAGTTTCCTTCCCAAATCTCACGGGCCAGGGAGCAGCAGCCTGGAGGCACCTCGACCGGGGTCACAGCTCCTGGGGCAATGCACAGCGCTCCCAGATGAGGCAACGATGGCAGAGGGGGTGAAAAACACAGCGATTTAAACATCGGCTTGTTCCAGCCAAGTTCTCCCCTTAAAAGGGCAAAACCCTCCAACTGTCCCTATGTCTCAGGGCCCTGCTGAGCTGCAGCTGGGAGGGGAAGGCAGCGCAGCAACAACAGGGCACAGCATCAGTCATGCCACATTCACCAGCTCCAGCGAGCCCGTGATCCCTCCCCATTGCTCTCCTTGGGGAGCAGCTCACAATGACACTAAGCAGAGGAAGGGCTGGGACCGGGAGGAGACATGGGAAAGCAGAAGACGATTGTTGAAAATAGACCAGATATGAGCCACGGATAAGGGCAGGCAGCCCAACAGCAGAGTCTGCGAGCAGGAGCTGCGGAGACCGCTTCCCTCCAGCACAGCTCTTCCCCAGAAGGCAGCCCCAGACACGGGGTCTTCAACGCATTCCTCGCTCAGACAGTAAACACCAACCCTTCCTCCAGCCCCAGAAACCCTGCCTACCCCCAGAAAACAGCTACGTGCCGAGGGTTTGATTTGGCCGCCAAGCAACGTTGGGACTCAGAGGAGTTACAGGCACAGCGCTGGTTCCTCTCCCCACTGATGGGGAGACGTGCCCCTCACTGCCCTGGAGCTGTCTCATCAGGGCGCAGAGGCACCCCGACGTCACCTGCCTCACCAAAGCAGCTCCGCTTGCTGTGCAACAAGCCCAGCTCGGTGTTGACGGCCCCATGGCAGCAGACCAACATGCCCTGCAGCGTTCAGCATCCGGCTCAGGGTCTGGACCGCTGCACCGAGGCTGGACCGAGGGCACTGGAGCCCGCAGCAGGGACCAGCCTCCCCGGGCTCACCCTGCTGAGGCAGATCCCTGCCCCAGGCAAGCTCCGGCGGGCT